GCGCCCCTACCAGTGCAAACTGCCTCTTACGTGCCGGTAACAAGGGAGAACAGAACACCCAAGAGCCCAACAGGCAGCCGAAAAACCGAAAGGTAAAACGGACCAGCAGAGGCAGACCTCGAGGAGCCTGTGGAAGGTGGCCCCAAGCCCCAAGGGCAGTACTTACAGGGCACCTAGGGAAGGCAGCCCTAGGCGCATGCAGCCCGAATACTGAAGATAACTACTGGCTCTCGCACCTACAAAACAAACACCATACGCAAAGCACAGTGCAGTAGCGACACCGGAGCCAGAGCACACGACCATCGCCTATAGCATCAGCCTCAAGAACTGAGGTGTGGGTAGCCGGCGTGGGGGGTCTGGGGCTCCCTCTTCCCCCTCCCGGGGAGGTGGGAGCTGCGCAGGTAAGATAAGAAAACCCCTCCCCCTGCAACAATAAGCCCCACAAGGAAGGCAAAAGCACCCAAGCGGGGTCAAAGGGGGCCCAAGGCTCCAGGTCGACTCCTCCCCAGCCCCAAGATCCCCCACGTTGGGACCCGGGGCAGAGCTGTCCTCCAAACCCTCTGCCTCTGAAGAAAAGGCAGAGTCCAGGGGAAAGGCAGACAAGAAGGGGGCCTGCTGGTGGAACCCAGAAGCCTTGGCAGAAGGAACCGGCTCAAATGCCTCCGTCTCCGACCCAAATGGGACAGCCCCAGAAGCCGCCTGAGCCTCATCACCAACTAAATCCTGTGCCGAATCCGAAACCCTCAGACATTTGGGAGCTGGACACAAGGGGGAAGGGGGAGAGGGGTCCAGGATGAACCACAGGGGAAGGACCAGGGAGCGCGGAAGGAGCCAAAGTCGAAGCAACTAACGCCCCCAGGTCCTGGTCCCTAAAACCAAAGTGGGGCAGCCTCGGGGCATCTGGGTGGGAACCCAACTTAGGGCATTGCAGTAACCTAAATCTAACATGCAACACAGATGCTGCCTGTACCCTAACAGAAACATCATCAAAATAAAACTGGAGCACAAGCAGAAAACACGACTCGCAAGACTCCGGGTCAAAGGTGTCGTTGACCCAACCGGCAGCATGACGGAGGCAAAACAGGTGACTGTCACCCTGAGACAAGGGCACACTGCAACCTTCAGACTCGCACAAGGCAGGCTGGAGCTTGGGAGACGCATCCATAGGTCCACTGAGCCCCGACAGGGGTTTCCAGGGCCCGTAGGGTAACAACTACGGGAAGCCCGGGCAAGGTGTTGCTAACCAGTTAAAATCCTAAACAAGCAAGGGGTAGATGATAACACTAAAACCCCTGTGACATGTACAAGCATGGGGACCTAGCAAAGGAACACCAAAACAGTATCAGGGGGGAACTATAGTCCAACTAGGCAGAATCCCCTATCAGGCAAACAAAAGCAAAACAAAAGAAAAAACTCACAAAAGTACACTGACCCCAGAGGCAATGGCAACCAGTTGCCGCTTAGGTGGCAGGACGCGCAACACCTTGACGCCCTAACCAGCACAACACCACTCCCTACCCAGGGTCAAACAAGGTCCCCAAGCCCCAGCTGGCCCCAAGGGCGAGGCAAATGCCGAGCAGCAAGAACCCCAACGGGAGTGGTTCCTGAACGCCCCAGGGGAGATAACCCTGACATGCAGGGGCAGTACTCACAGGGCACTTAGGGATGGAAGCCCCTAAGTGCATGCAGCCCCGGCACTGATGAGGTATTCCTGGCCACCACACACCACACCAAGACAGCAGAGAATGCCACACAAGGCAAACACCGCCCAGGAATTTGAGGCCAGAGAAGCGTCTGTCTTGGTTGACATTAGCTTATGAACTGGTGCTAGGCAGCCAACGCGGTGAGGTCCAGGGCACCCCCTCCCCCTCTCGTGGAGGGGAGGGCTGCGCAGACGTGCGGCACGGCAGTAAAGGTTGATTTTTACTTGTTTCCTTGGGATTGTAGGGAGTTTCTACCTCTCTGTTCGGTTTTTGTTTTAGTTTCTTACTATGTGGGGTTTGTTTTGTTATTCCTACCTTTCTGGGTGCCGAACCCCGGTCAATGGCAGATAAGGAAAACCCCAACTTCTAGGAGGTTTCCCAGGGCCATTGCTCCCTGAAACCTCTTTGAAGGGGCTAGGTTCTGGTCCCTGGTAGGTCTGAACTCCATAGCTAATGTCCCGGTCTAATATGAAGTACATTAGCCTGATAAGCTCCAGGGCTATTGGTAGGTAGCCTTACCACCAGGCTCCAGGTAGGCTTCTAACACGGATGAAAAATTTTCTAACTGAAAAAAATGAGGGCAATAATCAGAGGCAATGTATCGGACTGGAGAAATGTCACAAGTGGAGTACCACAGGGTTCAGTTCTTGCACCAGTGATGTTCAATCTCTATATAAACGTTCTACCAGATGGAATACACAATTACATGAACATGTTTGCTGATGATGCTAAGATAATAGGAAAGATAAGATACTTAGATGATTGTCATGCCCTTCAAGAAGACCTGGCCAAAATAAGTGTATGGAGCACCACTTGGCAATTGGAATTTAATGTGAATAAATGCCATGTTATGGAATGTGGAATAGAACATAGACACCCCCCCCACACAACCTATAAATTACATGAGAAATCTTTAAAGAATTCTGATAAAGAAAGAGATCTAGGGGCAATTCTAGATAGAAAACTATTACCTAAAGACCACATAAAGAACGTTGTGCGAGGAGCCTATGCTACACTTTCTAACTTCAGAATTGCTTTTAAATACATGGATGGCGAAATACTCAAGAAATTTTCACGACTTTTGTTAGACCAAAGTGGGAATATGCCGCTGTTGTATGGTGCACACAGAGCACACAGAGAAATCCCAATAGCGTGATACATCAAATGAACAAATCCACAAGGGCCATGACGAGGATTTGAACCTACGTCCGAGAGCATCCTAGACACTGCCTTAATCGACTGAGCTACGACATGGTAAAAAGAGCTGAAACCAGAAGTTCTACTGAACTTACTTGGATCCTACACCCTCTCCGAGAGACAAACCAGGGTTTTCCACAACTCCCCCATGCACTCGAGCTATGTCAATAGGCCGTTCTACCTCTTGTCGTTACTTCATTACACACAGAAATCTTGGATGTAGGTTCGAATCCTCGTCACGGCTCTTGTGGATTTGTTCAAGAGGTTAGAGGCATTAAATATGCCAAAACTAGAAGATTGAAGAAAGAGGCGATATGATCACTACGTACAAAATAGTAATGAGAATCGATAAAATTGATAGGGAAGAATTCCTGAGGACCTGGAACTTTATGAACAAGAGGTCATAGATTTAAACTAACGAAACAAAGCTGCCGAAGAAATATGAGAAAATTAACTTTCGCAGAGTGGTAGATGGTTGGAACAAGTTAAGTGAGAAGGTGGGAGACCAAAACCGTCAATAATTTCAAAGTTTTATATGACAAAGAGTACTGGGAAGATGGGACACCGCGAGCATAGCTCTCATCCTGTAACTACACTTAGGTAATTACCTGCATCGGAAGGGGGATTCCCTGGAGCCTTCCGAGCTAAACCTCACCCCAACTTTGAAACCCCTAAATATTTGGGAGCCGGCAGCAGGGAAAAGGGAAAGGGCGTACCATGCCCACCTGGGAAGAAAGACGGGGCGCAGACTGAACCAAGGATGATGCGACCAACGGCCTCAAACTAGAGTCCCTAAATCAAGCGGCGCACTCCAGGGTTTCCAAACAGGTACGCAACCTGGCGCATTGCAACACTGAGAAATGCGTATGCAACGCAGCTGCTGCCTAATCCCATATACTGTATCAGAAGAGGGATGGGTGGATTGGAGCACAAGCTGGGAACAACTCCCACAAGACTTCGGGTAATAGGTGTCCTCGACCCAACAGGCAGCATGGCGGAGGCAGAATGGATGATTGCCACCCTAGGCAGGGCCTGTAGGGCCTTCCACCCTCCTAGCCCTCCAAATAGGCCCTCCATCAGGGCCTGTAGGGTGAATGAGCCCTACAGAAAGCCCATGCACTGGGACTAGCTAAGCCGGTAAACCCTGTCGGTGCAGGCAGTCTGACTACAAGCAGCCACAGTAAAGCCTCAGGGGCAACAAAGGAGGACCACTACCTCACCCTAGGCATAGCCTAAAGAGGTGAAAAGCAGAACTCCTCTGCCAAAACAGGTGAAATAACCCAACCGATAAACGTATAAGTACAAGAAAACCGCCTGAAACTCCACAACAGCAAACAAGCAGTCGGAGAGAAAGTTTGGCTCGTAGTGTGATAGCTGAATATCAGGCTGCGATAACCACAGTGCACCCCACCAGTCAATAAACACTCCCCAAACCCAGGGCAAGACACAAGGTTCAAAGCCCCCGACGTACCCCCAAGGGGTGCGTCGGGGGCTTTGAACCACAAGTGAGGAAGTCTTCTAATGGGGGAGTGAATTCCGAATGCCTCAAAGAAGAGAACCCTGACCGTGCATGGACAGTACTTACGGAGCCCCTAGGGAAGGAGGTCCTAGGCGCATGCAGCACTAGTTCTCAAAAACTGCATGATAAATGCACACCTCCATTTATAACACCACTGCAAGGGCAAATACACCACAGAAAATGGAAACACAGAGCCAGAGCAACAGCAACTACTAGGCACCTCTAACATCAGTCAAGAACTGACTTGTGGTGGCCCGGCTCCCCCTCCCTTTGACTTGTCTACCTTTCAGGGTGCCTCTTCCCTGGTCAATGGCAAGATGACTTACAGTACATTAAATGTAAAGTGTTTGTAGGCCATTGCTCCCTGTGCTTCTTTGAAGGGAGGCCAGGTTGTGGCTTGTGGTCCCCAGTAGGCGGTACAAGAACTCTGCGACTGATGACAATCAAGTAGTATGGCACTTGATCAGTAAGATAGCTTCAGGGAGCCAATGGGGCTCAACACAGAATTTTTGTATTTATAAAATATTTCGTGAAGCATACAAAATATGGCAATACTCCTTTATACAACTAGAACAACTGACCTTCAGTAGATAGACAATGATCCGTGTAAAGTATATGTAGCAGACAATCATTATGTAGAAATGACGGAAAAGCTTCAACTTCTTAAGGTTCAAAGCAGCCTTGCCATCAGTCTGGGAGGCCTCTTGCAGATGACGAATTGACCTGTTATAGTACAAATTTCTTGTTAACTTTGTTAATTTGCAGATTTTTTACTGAACTATTGAAAAATAAATAATAAAAAATTCTTATACAGTAATGTGTGTGTGTGTGTGTGTGTGTGTGTGTGTGTGTGTGTGTGTAATTACCTAAGTGTAGTTACAGGATGAGAGCTACGCTCGTGGTGTCCCGTCTTCCCAGCACTCTTTGTCATATAACGCTTTGAAACTACTGACGGTCTTGGCCTCCACCACCTTCTCACTTAACTTGTTCCAACCGTCTACCACTCTATTTGCGAAGGTGAATTTTGTGTGTGTGTGTGTGTGTGTGTGTGTGTGTGTGTGTGTGTGTGTGTGTGTGTGTGTGTGTGTGTGTGTGTGTGTGTGTGTGTCTATATATATATATATATATATATATATATATATATATATATATATATATATATATATATATATATATATATATATATATATATATATATATATATATATATATATATATATATATATATATATATATATATATATATATATATATATATATATATATATATATATATATATATATTATATATATATATATAATATGTAACATACATATTACTGTATTCATCCAACCCGTCCTCTTAAAAATAACGTCACTTTTGGCTCGTATGCGCACTATGGCCAAATTTGGACGTAATTTGAAATGAAATCGACTCACAAAAGTGACGTTCTGTTCCATTTTCTATTTGAGTCGTCAGGCTTACGCGCATAGGTTATAAGGGGACACTTTAAATTACCGGTTTTCATAACGTTTTGAAACTTTATGAGAATTTCCTGCCCACCTAACCTATCAGAGGACCCTTAACTTACTGTTGTTGAAAAAAAATCCCAAATTTATTTTCATTTTTTGTTTTCATTTTCAAATTACGTCCAAATTCGTCCATATGGGAAAACGGCCAACAGCGACGTTCTTTTTAAGAGGACAGGTTGATTCATCAGCAATGGTAAGTAATAACTTGAACATAGTTTTGTAATGTAGATTTAGATGACCTACACTATGATGATTTAAATCTACACTACAAAACTATGTTCAAGTTATTAGTTACCCTTGCTGATGAATGCTGTAGGCGTATGGAAGATGGTGAGGAGGGGGGGAGGAGGAGAGGTGTTACTGTTTGGAAGGGGGAGTCTCCTTCCATTATAACATCAGGCAGTGAGGACCTCTCAGGGGTGCATTCTCTGGCACGTTTTACCTGCATACCACTAGGTCCTGGTTGTGGCTCACTGCTCGATGTTCTCACAACAAATCTGTCCATGGAAGATTGTATTTCCCTTCTTCGCAAGATGTCTCTGTAGTGAGGCATCACATCGTCAGTGAAAAGATTAATGTAACGGCCTACTACAGTTTTCTCTGGGCGAGTGGTTTCAATAAAACCAGCGTTGAATGTAATGAAACGCCATTTTCTTGGTGAGCCCCGGAGGCTCCCTGGAGCTTATCGGGCTAATCTTGAGGTTATCTTGAGATGATTTCGGGGATTTAGTGTCCCCACGGCCCGGTCCTCGACCAGGCCTCCACCCCCAGGAAGAAGCCCGTGACAGCTGACTAACTCCCAGGTACTTATTTACTGCTAGGTAACAGGGGCATAGGGTGAAAGAAACTTTGCCCATTTGTTTCTGCCTCGTGCGGGAATCGAACCTTTGCCCATTTGTTTCTGCCTCGTACAGGAATCGAACCCGCGCCACAGAATTACGAGTCCTGCGCGCTATCCACCAGGCTACGAGGCCCCATGTTATATTATGTAATCACTTGTTATATTATGTAAAATAATGTATGTTATATTAGACCGGGACATTAGCTAAGGAGTTCAGACCTACCAGGGACCAGCGCCAGAATCTGGCCCCTTTAGAGAGGTTTCAGGGAGCAATGGCCCTGGAAAACCCCCTTGTGGTTGGGGTTTTCCTTATCTGTCATTGACCGGGGTTAGGCACCCAGAAAGGTAGGCATAACAAAACAAACCCCACATGGTAAAAACTAAAACAAAAACCGAACATAGAGGTAGAAACTCCCTACAATCACAAGGAAACAAGCAAACATCACACTTTACTGCCGCGCCGATCGTCTGCGCAGCCCTCCCCGCTCCGGGAGGGGGAGGGGGAAGCCCCGGACCTACCGCGCCGGCTGCCAAGCTCCAGTTCGGAAGCTAAGCTTCAATCAACGCGAAAAAACCGCCGACCGGTGGGAGAGAGGGTTGCCAGGGAGCCTCCGGGGCTCACCCAGAAAATGGCGTTTCATTACATTCAACGCTGGTTTTCTGTGGGGAGCCCCTACGGCTCCCTGGAGCTTCATACCCAAAGAGAAGGAAAAGAAAGGGCTAACCCAGGAGGTGGCCGCCACAAACTCTGCAACGCAAAGCCAAGACAACCGGTCGCAAACCTGCAACCCAAGGCAACAAGAACGCCCAAGAGCAGACGAGCATAAGGATGGGCGGCCAAGAACCTGTGCGACCCACAAATCCCAGCGCCCGAAATGAGCCCGAGACGTCACCAACACAGCAGCAAAAGCTGCAAACGTCTGAACAGCACGGGCGCAAAGACAGACCGCAGGCTGGAAGAATGAAAACACTGAGGACGACCTGGGAGACCCGAACCCTGAAAACAGGGAACGAAGGAACCGGATCAACCACAGCGCATCCCCAGACACAGTACGCCGGCAACAGCAAAAAGCACAACCGGACAACACAGGACGCACCCCCCGGCCAAACCAATCAAGTACCAATACCCCAAGAACCCCTCTGGAAAGCAGCCGTCTCTACCGTCGCCAGGACAGAGAAAGGCTGCACACCTATAAAGCTACCACCAGTACCAAAAAGCAGGATACTGAACCGAAGGGGCTACCACAAACTGATGGGAAGATAAGAAGACACCCTGAACAAGGACCAGGATGGCTCAGGCGACGCATGAGCAGGCCGGAGGGGAAAGAAAACACGAGAAAACGTATGAAACGTCATACTGTCGCCAAGACGAAGCTCGCAGGTGGGACACCGTCAACAAAGCCACCTGAACACCATAGAGATGGTGATACCCGCGTCAAAATACCAGACGCGAAGAGCCAAGGAGAAGGCCGAACCAGTCATGGACAGGACCGATTCGGCCTGCTGAAAGAGGCGGAGCCTCAGGAAAAACGCCCCGGGTACGAACACCTATCAAGCAGCGTCTGAAAAGAAGGCCGGGCCGGCCACCATGGAACCATAAGGACTGTTCTCGTGGGAATGGGAGCAACCGAGCCAGAATCCGAAGCAACAGCTGGACCGCGAGAAGAGGAACAGGTACCCCCCCACCTCGACCAGTCCTGCCGAAAGCATCCACCGTGAAGTCCTCACAGGTGGGAAAGGGCGCCACAAAATGGGCGACACCTAGACCACGCTGACCTGAAGACGTCCATGGCCAGGAGTCCATACGCCCGACAGAGCCAACAAAACGAATCGGCGACGACTGGCCAACCCACGAAGAGGAATGAACCAAGACAGATGTCCACCAGGACGCAGGACACACCCTGGACACGAACCTCAAGGTTAGCCAAACCCATGTGGTTCCGGCAAGAACCACCAGAGAACAGTCCGAACAGAGCTGAATGGTAGAGTACCTAGTGGCCCAAACCCTCCGAAGCGCAAACCAGACAGCCATGAACACCCGAACCGTGCTGTGAGCCCGACGGACAGACAGACTCCATCAACCTCGGCCGACCTGGTGAGCACTGGTCACAAAGCCCCAGCCGAGAGACGACCCGTCCGTAAACACATCGAGCGAAGGCTCGGGGAGGTGCCAAGGCACGGAACCCCGAAAACCCCAAAGAGGAAGCTGGTGACAGCACCAACACAAGATCCCCGGAGGAACCCAATGAATGCAAGAGGCGGTAGGGGAGTCTCCGCAGGAACGAACAGACGCCGTAGCCAAACCCGACTCCGCGGGCAGACAAGCACGCCGAAGTGCAGACCCCAGCACAACCGCTCAAGCAACCGCTGAGCATCCCGGGACCCCCTCCTAAACAGCCGAAGGCGGGACCACAGCCGCAGTAACACTTCTGGAGGGAAGACAATGAGGGGCCCAAGAGCTTTAAACAAGGCCCAGGTCCGAATCCGGGACGGAAACAGACGGAAAACCTCCAGATCACCAGGAAACCAAACCCGGCGATCTGGAAAGAACCATCCCCTGGCGAGCAGACAAGCGGACTGACTGGGAGCCTACACCAGCCAGTCGTTGAGGTAGGCCAGACACCGAATCTCAGACTCAGACAGGGCACTAAGATCCGGTAAAGATGCAAAAAGTATACGAAGTGCCCATTACAAAATAGGGAAGACAATAAAAACAGCAAACCTGAAGCCCCACCACCAACCGTGCTAGTCCCAGAAAAACTGGAGAGGAACGTGCCAAGAAGTGACCTGGAGGTCCAGGGCCACCATCCATGCACCCGGCCCCAACAGAATCCGAACAGGAGACAACAGTCCTCCAAGGAGGGCATAGGATCCAGGGCGCAGACTGAAGAAGTCCAGAAGAACTGCAGACGGGAAAAGCTCATAACTGCAAAGAGCAGACGGGAACCCCAGAAGGATGGGGCGGATCGACCACGCCCCACGCATCCACGAAGAGGAAATGACGAAGCGCAGGGGAAGAAGCCCACCCCGCCAGCTCTGAACCCCCCCCAAGGGGAAGAAGCCGTCCTCCGACGCCAGCAGAGGCCGGAAGACAACCCAAAGCGCCCACCAACAGCGGGACCAGGCGAGAGGCAACAGAGCAAGCTGCTCCCCCAGCGCCCAGTCAACAGAGAAGGGAACAGAACCCCTTCCGAAAGAAAAAGTACACTACCTAAGTCATGAGGAGAGACTACGGGAATTAAACCACACTTCGCTGGAAGACGAAGAGTGAGGGGAGACCTGATCACCACATTCAAGATACCCAAGGGAATCGACAGGGTTGATAAGGACAGGCTATGTAACACAAGGGGCACACGCACTAGGGGACACA